TCTATTTTAAGAATCACGTTGCTGTAGATCGGCGGACGCCACGGTCTGTGCAAATGTGCAGACCACAGTTTGCCTGCGCCGCCCAGGCAACACAGGCAGCTGGCGTTGTAACACTTTCGTGGCCCGAGAACAGTCACATGCTGTTTTGGGACATGTCTAGTTTCAATATATATATATATTATATAGTTATTGTATGTGCTTGTCGGCATGTTCAATGCTTCATAGCAGGCATGACAAGATTTCAAGATCAACAGTTTTGGTGTTGTCGCAATTCCCTGGATTTTCCCCACCTGCCATGTGAGGGTTGTTAGATTCTATCAGAGCTGTTCTCCTCCTCCTCCTCGCCCCTCCTCCGCAAGCACCAGATCGCAGTGGGCACCGGACCTCAACCATGAGTGCCAGATCCCAGTGGGCACCACTGGACCTCAATCACAAGTGCCATACCACCAGACCTCAGTGCAAGCTCACAGTGGGCACCAGCGGACCTCAACTGCGAGCACTTGATCGCAGTGGGCATTGCCGGACCTCCAAGCACTCGATCGCAGTTGGCGCCACCGGACCTCAACCGGGCACCAGTGGACCTCAACCGCAAGTGTTAGAGTGCGGTGCGGGATAGAAGAAAGCATGTCACCAGTTCTGCCAGGTAGATCGCCAGCCCGATAGAAAGTCAGATTGTGTAGTGTGCCAGATTTACGGTCAGAGTTTTTGTCGGAAAGAGTGTCAGAACAAATGTCAAAAGAATGTCAGAAAGTGTGCCGCATAGAATGCATGAATTTGCGCCAGAGAATGCCCGATCATATACCAGATAAAAAGCTACAATATTTAATACCCCTAGGTATTTCCACGACTACAAAAGCGATGATGATATCATCACAAAACAAGCATTTTTTATACTGCTTATGTTGGAGGTGGCATGTCAGAGAGTCTGATTTTATAGAGAACACAGGAAATTACGAGCCTCGATTCTATAGAGATTATTGTGTATCAATACATTTCTTGGCAAGGTAAAGACATCTGATTTTATAATCAAGCCATGATTGAACTTTACATGTCAAGGGTCTCAATCAATTCTATAGATTTTGTACTTGCGGACAGTTGCTGTGCCTTTGGTGTTCTTTAAAATCTGTGAAGGTGACTTTGGCCGATGATCATGTTGAAGTGCCATAGAACTGTGGTAGCTTTCATGCAGAAATAGGTTCCTACAGGTCCTGTGTCCAGCATAGTCAGATTTTGCAACCCAAAGCCTGCTATTCTATAGAGGCCCTACTACCCAATATATAATTGAAAAACACAGTTCGAAAATCCTTTGTGCCTTATGATTATATAGTGTTTGCACTTGCTATGTCTACCAGTTGTCTACTTATTTGCCATGTCCAACCCAGTTCTACTGGCCATGATTTTCAGTCTCACAATCCTCAGTTCTATAGAGCTCAAAATGCGGCCTCTCATTTTGGATGTCACACGCAAGCGTCTTATAACTATAAAACCGGTGTACCCACCCCCCCCACTCAATTCCAAGGGAAAAAAGAATATATATATATATACACACACGCCACATGGACGGCCAGAATATTTACCAGATAGAATGCTTGAAATTATGCCAGATAGAGTGCAAGAATTTGTGCCAGATAGAACGCCAGATAGAATGCCAGAATTTATGCCAGATAGGTTGCCATCATATATGCCAGTATGTATGCAAGATAGACACTTTCTTGGTGATGTTGAAGCAATGTGGCCTGCAGTTTACAGCAGAGTCTAATGCCACGGTGGGGACCACCCGAAGTAAAGTAATTAAGTACACAATGTTGAAAGTAATTAAGTACACAATGTTGCATTGCACGAGATTCGACATCAATCAAGAAATTATGATGTGTTTAGTCTTTGCGCATATAGACCAGATAGTATGCCACATAGAGCGTGAACCAACTCAAAGGGACAAGGCCTGACCCTGTTCTTCACCAATCCTAATTCTATCTCATAGAACGGTTGAGGTTTGTGGACTTGGTTGCCACGCCAGGGTCCAGCAGCCAAGAGGGGCCGTCTGGGACGGAACTATCCCCTCACGTTTGAAGATGCGAAGGTCAGAAGGCTTGCGGAAGACGCAAGACATGTCTTGACTTCGAGGCGGAACGCAACCTGATGTGGACGGCGCAAGGCAGCCACGATCCTTGCGTAGTAACAAGTGAGGTGCTTCTTCTTGTCAGTAGCCAAAAACAAGGGTGAACACCAGATTGCAAGTGCAACAGCGGTGAATTCATATATTTTTGGAACCATTTCCATGTGAATCATGAGCATTGTACATTGCATAGTTAACATCGCAAAACCACTGCGCAGCCCTTTTGTGAATCAGGAAAAAGTGCACATGGCAGCGGAGCTAGGATAAGGGTAGCCCTCCTTTGAGCTCCAGAGAATCGCCCCTAGGTCACTGGGATCCCGGGCGCGATTTCGAGCCATAGATTTGGGGCCTTTGGAACTCAAACAGCTGGACTGGTGAAGAATACTCTGTACCCAGTACATTGTGTCAAAGAGACATAAGTACACAGAAGAGATGGATGAGATCAAGGAAACCCTTCATACAATAGCACAGAGTACGCAAGCAACAGCATCAGCAGCTGAGGCAGTGAAGAAAGCAGTTGAGGACAAGAAGTCGTCAACAACATGACTTAAAGGTACCACTCAAGTTACAAAATCGGTCTTTGGAGTCGTTCGAGATGAAGGTGAAAGCTGCTTGGAGGTGCAAGTACCTGAAGCTCTTGAAAAGGAATGGACTGCTAGTTGGAAGCTAATTGACTGGACACCACAGTCGTTCCAGAAGTGGAAGAATCACCAGGGCTGATGAGAACCACCTTGGTGAAAAGAGGAGGTAGATGGTTAATGCCTGAATATTGTGAAAGCATGATGAAAAAGGAGCAGTGAAGATCAAATCAGAGTAGGAGAGTGTGAGAGATGGGTTTTTGAAAAGAAGAAGAATTTTGCAGGAAAGGTTGCTTTTGAGCGCTTGCAGCCAATGGTTACAGAGGCATTCCTGAAAGGAGACAGCGTCCAGTGTGGATTGGACGCAGTGAAGAAATCCAATGAAGAATGGAAATTTTGGATTGTCATGATCATTGTGCTCAACATTATTGGCTTTATAGCAGTGATCTTTGTACCCTGCAAGATCTACGAACACATTGAGATGAGCTATCTCGTTGTAGTTGACTCAAACCGCTTCAAACTTGATTACATGGAGACTCTAATCAAAAGAGTTGAGACGCAAATTGAAAGAGTTAAAGACAAGGTTGGAATGTGGAAAGAAGATGAAGACCTTGAAGAAAGATTCGACATTCTACAAGATTATGTCAGGAGGATTCACAGTGGATTGATTCTGAATGGAGGTTTTGTAGAGAGAGAGAGAGAGAAACACCAAATACACAAACCATTCTCAGCTATAACATCTTGAGTGAGATCAACGCAGACATTACCTAGCCAGAACGAGTTTGGAGGCTATGCAGGCTACGGAAGGATGGTACGAAGGACGCAGAGTAACGCTAGAGGCAGCCAATGAAGGAGAAAATCCATCACGAGGGCCATTGAACAGAACATTCAGAGTTGGAAGAAGAGAAATGTCAATGAGATCAGAGTACGTAAAGATGCAGGCAGCACAGATGTGTGGTAGACTCCAGGCCAAAATTGAGGAGTTGAGAACACAACATTGGGGCCTACTAGGAGTAGGAGATCAAGATATCGCAGACAGAGTTGAGCGAGAACCAAGTTGCAGAATACACAAGGGACAACCCAGATGTTGATTCAGCAGAAGTACGCTTCAGGAACCCAGTTCCTGGAAGAAATGAATGAGCCTGCAGAGAAACAAGAATTGAAGGGAAAAATTGCTTATAGTTGCAAAAGTGAGTTCAAAGAAGCATCTTACAGTTTCACAGTGCCAAGAAGGAGTGCGAACTACTTTCCATGTGAATCATGACAATTGTACAGTGCATAGTGAGCATCACAAGACCACTGCGCAACCCTTTTGTGAATCAGGAAAAAGTGCATAATTTTCTATATTTCCCAGCCGTTAGAACTTATGTTTCTTTCTTGGTGTTTTGGTGGTGAGCCCCGAAGACAAGCCTCTCAAATCCTTCGGCTCCAGTCGGCGCGTGGAGTTTGGCCATGCCAAGAAGGCGGCTGGGTCAAATCTCTCCGAATAGTTTTGGGCCTTCCGACTGGGGTGCTTGGCGTAGGCGAGACTGCGCGTGTATATTTGTTAGAACACTCGAACACGGCAAGGCAGGTGTTTGTTGGCGAGTGGTCTCCGGGGCAAGATGTCATATGGACAGGTGGAGCTAGATGTTGACTGCAGTTGAATGAAAGTACACAGTTTGCTTGTAGTTTTCTTGTCAAAGGAGCAAGTCATTCGAGCAACCCGAGCAATCCTAGTCCAAAAGGCGTCTATTGTGGCTCTTTTGTTTCCCTTGGTAATATTCCAGTCATGTAGTGTAGCTTCGCCACGCAAACCAAACTATGGGAACCATGTAGATTGGCAGAGCCAGCATGCAAGCCGACCCAGTCATTGGAAGGCCGAATATTATCTGAATGATGTGGAGGTAAGGGATGGCCAGAAATGGTGTTGCGGGGCCTCCTCTCTTTGCAGGGGAAGAGCGCAGTGCTCGTTCACAGTTTCGACATGCATGTGTGCAGGTCAAGGTTTTCGAGCTGAGCAGCAATTAGAAACAATCAGTGGAAAAACAATTGCATTTCGAAGCTGTGACTGGCAGTCCACCCTCTTCTTGGCCTTTCACAAGTGATGGGCTTGAGGAGATGCCTTTCCGGAGCGAAGGAATTGGTTCCCTTCCTGCGCCGTCTATCCTATGGTCCAACATCAGCATGGCAGCATTAGATGCTTGGCAATGAACGAGTTCCGTGCGCCATTAGAACAAACCCAGTGTTATCAACAAACAACACAATCCTGCTCTGGAGTCAAGCAGGAACCTGATAAAGACATCTTGCTCAACAGCTGTTGTTTGAAAACATTCTAATCAGCTGCGCTGATCCTGGTATGTGACTTGCCAGCATGGCTGTGTATGCGATGGACTTTGACTGGCACAGCGACCGCAGTCATGACAAGAATGTCAAGCCTTTTCGTATGGACCGATGGAGATGTCGAAGACTACTGTGGAGGGGAGGAGTTAGGCCCAGAGGTGTTTTCTATGCACATGGGCTTCAGATCCCCCATGCAACGCGCCTCGAGCAGTTCGGCCGCCTCGATGGCAGTGAAGATGAGCGATGAACACTTTCCGACTCTGCCGGAACGCATCCCATCTGACAGGACATGGCGTTCCATGCTTTTCCGAGTGCCCGACAGTTGCGAGTGCGTCTTCTGGGCTTTGACTCTCAGGTTTGTGTACAAGAGTCCGAGTTCGGCCAGGCGATGACTCATTATGAAGGGTTGTTGCAATTTGAAAGGTGAGGTGGGAGAAGGTGGTCCTCAAACTGCCAAAGACACCGAAAGGACTAAATAGTGCCTTGGTCAACTTGGGTGGGGATCCGAAGCAGTTTTGTTTGAGCTAATTATATCAAGAATATCTTGGGTGCAACTAACTTGACTCATGTCGCTCGCGCATGTGGTTTGTATGTGGCACGCAATCAGGTTGTTTCAGGCTCATTAGCTGTCTCGAGATCGCAAGAAGCCTCAACTCGTGAGCATGGTAGCCGCTGACTTGTCTAGCAAGCTGAAGTGGCTTGGTGAAAGCTGTGGATGGGAATCTGCCTTTGACTTATTGTCCGAAAGAATTCGACTTGATTCATGGCAGACATTGTTTGCTTCCAGGCTTTGTGAAGTAGTAAGTAGTTGGATCGGAGCAGTTGGATGGCCATGATCAACTCATTTATATACATTCAGGAAGACTGTTTAATGTTTCCGCCATCGACGTCCAGTCACAGGCCATGGGCGCTGATTGGGTGTCCGGCTTCGGGTGTCCCACGGGGATTGACAGTGGCACAAGGGGGGGGTTTTCCCCTTCTCCATTTGGTTAAGCTAGACTGGCTAGACTACTAGACTCCGACAAATAACTCCCTTAGTGGTGAAAGGTGGTGCTGCTGTTGTCGTTGGCCTGTACCAACGAAATACGACACTTCAAACAGCGAGAAGCATGAAACCACAACCAGAAAACACTCAAGCAGACGCAGCTTGGCTGAGGCGCACCAAGATTTGCAAGTGCCTTGGTTCAGAGTTCAGAGAAGACAGAAACGTGGTGTCCTCCAAGTGTGTACAGATGATGCCGGGAGATGGGGATAGTATACAATAGGTGTTCTCACGCACTGGGAGTGTGCATGTAGAAGTGCCCAGTGATTGGAGGCATATGTCGTTTTGTTTCTACAAGATACTTTTTCAGGAAGAACCGTCTTGCAAAGTCTATCATAGTCCATCGAAGGAGTTCACAGACCACTTCGAAGCCCAATCCCTGCTACGTCTACCGTCACTTTGGGCAACAAAGCTGGGTAAATTTGAGAGAGCAGGCGCCCTGCTGAAGCTCGTGAAGTGAATATTGTGGGAGTTTCGTTTCTTGTTTTAAGGTCCATGGAAAACCTAGTTGTTGACAGGCAGATACAGGCAGTCTTTGGCACCTTCGGAGCCCCAACTGGTTGAAAACGGGTAGTGGCGAACGACATGAGGCAACGTGTTGAAGATAAATTCAATTAGGAAAGCATGTTTTCGTTTTTCCGAAGGTGATAAGCTGGCGAGAGAGACCGATTTGGAGAAGAACACATAAGGATATATTGTTTTCCTTCGGAAGCATTGTTCTCTTGAATTCGCGCCGCTAAAAGCATATATATATATATACACACACCCTTTTCTTGAAAAAGGATAGATTGGCACATGGGTCTGAAGTGTCCCCATGAGGCATGCTTTGGGATCCTGGGTGAAAAGAAGTTGGACTGTTGAAGTCGTCTCAGCTGAGGTTTTGGGTCTTCAACAGGTGCACCTTGGGCAACTTGGAAATACATGAGTCGAAGATGATGCGCCTTGAGTCTCAGGTTCTTGCGAGTCATTTTCAGTGAGATTCAGACATGCGCCCTTGTTGATTGGGACATCGGACTCCGACAGCTCAACGATGGTTGAGAAAACGGTATGAAGTGGATTGGGTCTCTACTTCACAGCCAAATCTACAGTTTTGACAGATCACTCTGACTCCTTTCAAAGATCCAGTTGTTTCTTTTGCCAGCTTGGAGCTGTCAGGCGAGGGTCTCTAGGTTTTAGGTCAGTGTTCTCTTTCCCCTTGTGCTCCTCTTCTCCTTCTCCTACTTGCTCCTCGCTCTGCCTCTCTTCATTGTGTGTGCTCCTTCATGAGTCATCGACAGCACTGTCGCGCTGGACTTCATGGGCCCCCGAAGGATATGTCGAAAGAGATGTCCAAACACACGCAAGACTTGATTGTCTCAACAGTCTTAGCAGATGTCAGGCAGCGTGCATGCCAGAACAAGTGTCAGGTTACATGTCAGGACATTTATCAAAAGAAAAGTCAGAACACTTGTAAGACTTGATATCGCAACATATGTCTGAACCTGGAGCAACCTTTTGCGCGCAAAAAAGCTGCCATAGGTTAACAAGCCTGCTTTTTGGAGCTGTCGCTCAAAAAAGCGCCATATGTGACTTTTTTGTACTCTTTGGCGATCTTGTCTTGACCTGCACCTGGTGCAGCAGGACACAATACGGGTGCAGGATTGATTAAGCCCTACACAGCAGACTCTCCAGTGCAACTTGGGCATTCCAACCCTTGATGACAGGGTAACTCTCGGATGTGCTGCAACTTGCAAAGTTTGACAATTTGCGGGAATATGGCGGGAAATTTGCGGAAATATGGCAGAAACTTGTTGACTGGAAGTTTGCGGCATATTGAACACCTCGCGAACACTTCCGTTTGACCAGGCCTTTTATTGCCCAATCCTCCGCAGAAACCTGAGAAGATCATTTATTCCAGCGAATTTGTGGTCCATGTCTACCTCTCCGGGGACACCCCATAATAACACATGCAATTTTCTCATAAATATCGCTTTGTTCGATGGCACTTTGTCTGGTGCTTTGAAATATCGCACCCTTTTTTGGAACTGGCTGATCCAGGAATACAAGCGAAAACAAACATGAGGTTGAATCGCCCGACCGCAATGTCAAAGCTAATATTTGCAAGGCACATGTCTGTCAGAACCCGTGCCCACTTTGACGCTAGAATAAGTGACGTCATTTGTCGGGCTGCTTGTCAATGCGGGGCCCACTCAGTCAAAGGTCACAGCACGCATCAGAACACATGTGAGATTTCGATCAGCACAGATGCCAGGATGCATGCCATAACAACTTTTGCCTGCAGGCTTGTCCCGCGGACACACATACATGACTTGGACGGCAGACTGCAGACTGTTTGTCAGAAAACATGCCGGAGCAAGTGTCGGTTGTTCAGGTTATATACATTGTCGGAACAAACCTACATTTTCCTGGATTTCTTTTTTGGGTTGTTTGCGTGGACATCGTGGCTCGCATGGCAGGGGGCAAGAATTTCAGGGAGATGACGAACAGCAGCGCCCTCAAGAACGGACAAAGAAAAACGGCGCCAAGGCGGCGCCGGAACGGCGCAAATGGTTCGAAGACTTCTTAGTTGCACTACGGAAGGTCCAAATCAGCAGAAGCGGCAGTTTTCGAGAAAGGGACGAAATTTGCATCAAGCCACGGAAAGTAGTTGAGTGCCACAAGACGACAGCAGTTTTACATAGCCAGGTGCCGTAGGTACGTCGGAACACAGAAGGCTTGACGTCGAAAAATTAGTGAGAACAAGCCAGACCGATTGCCAGTAGACGTATATCAAAGCATGTATTGGCGAAAGCGCAGGCGACAATTGATGCCACACCAGGGTTGCATGTCAGACCACACGTCCGGATTGCATGTTTTCAGGGCATGTGTCAGAGCACATGCCGGCTTGATGCTACGATGTGCGAGGTTGTTTGTTTGCCAGAACATACGTCATGTCATGTTTGTATTCAAAACGAGTGTCAGAACACATGCCAGGCTTCATTTCAAAACATGTGCGGGAGTCAATGCCAAAACAATGACCAGACGATCTTGCAAAAACAAACGACCGGTTGTTTCAGAACTTATACCAGCTTACATGTCAGAATGCGTGCGAAAATTACAGCAATAGTTACATGCCGGAACGCATGTCAGGTTGACATGTCAGAACATACAGCAGGACAACATGTCAGAACGCATGCCGTTGATCACAAAACAAGTGAGGTCATTTGCCACGATAGTTTGTCATTGCGTGCGTGCTATTGAAATATTGTTTTCCTAGTCGCGGTTGGCTCACTCGAAGTACAGATCATTCAGTTTTAAACCAGTAGTTGGAATGCTGTTTTTCGACTGCCGTTATGTACTGTTTCAGGGGGCTTGGAAGCCTCAGGTGAAGCTTGTACTTTCGCACACTCCACTTGCGACCTCCAAGAGCAGCCAGACCTGGCCCAGAACTGAGCAGCAACAGTGTTCTCGCAGTTGTCCTTGATGACTGTAGTTTTTTGTGGGACTTCACGTAGTGTTTCACCAGACGTCGCCATCAGGTCAAGACTGAGCTATGCTTCCAGTTCATGTCCAAGGCACCGCTAAAGCGCCTAAATGTGTGCAATGAACCGGTTGAAGTTATAGTGCCAGAGGGGCAGGAAACTCCGCGCGTTGAATCGTAGATGTTTGGGGCAAGGTCCAACCTTGGTCCTTCTTGGAGGTTCCAGATAAATAGTACTTCAGGTTTTCAAAGAGACTGCCCTGACCTGGAAGGCAGTGTGTTTTGTTTTGCGTCAGTCAGCGTGCACTTAGAAAGCCAAGAAATATTCGATGTTTTTTGTTTTTGTCCGTTAAGAGGGGTATCCACAGCTTGTCACGAGTCACACCTCCCCCCCGACCTATTCTACGCACACGTTGCATTGGATCAAAATCCCACGAACGCCTTGGTTGTGATGAGTGCATTTGCGCCTCCAAAAAGCACGGCCGAGTGCCAGAGTACAGTTACAAGCATGCCCTCATGCCCGGAACCATTTCCCACACCCAACACCAGTGGTCCGCATTCAGATCTCGCCCCAGGGCCAATGCAAACGTGGAGCTGCCTGCACTTTTGCGCATGGCAAGAAGGAGCTCCGCAAGCCTCGCAAGGAGATGCCGAAAAGCGCTGCTTTGGCACATGGCAAGATGAGCGCAGAGGCGCAGGAATGCCTTTCAGAGACGGAGGCGAAGCCGGAACCAGAGACTTGACGGAAGATGACGGAAGAAATCGGATTCTTTGCGACAAGGTGCAAAAAAACCCTGTTTGAAGAACTGGGTTCTGAGCCCTGTTGTGATATTGAATAACCAGGGAACAAAGCCGCCAGTTTCGGCACACGCTGTCTCAAGCAAAAAGAATATAGGAACACCGCCGCAACCAAAAGCCAGAAGGAAAAACTTTTGAGCGCGGAGCAACCTTTGTCATATCGATCGAAACTCCAGTCTCCTTGTTGCTTAACTTGATGCCTGCTGGCTGACAGCAACCTGCTTTGTCGACTCAACTTTCTTTTGAGCAGTGTTTTCTTGAAGTTGGTCTTGGAAAAGGGTTCAGGAGTTACTGCTTGTTTTTCGAGCTCTGGTCCAAGAGCGTCCAAGAATATCAACTTTCTGATTTACTAAGGGGTCAATATCTATATATAGAGCTCGTCATATTTCCAAGTTTGCTGTGACACCAGAGATGCACACATGGTGCTTTCAAAGTGCATCATATCCTGAGGTAGCTCCGCCCTCGGAGATCTTCGCAGAGCTCCACCAGCGGATCGAGCATGCGGAATCCGCGCTTAAGGCATAGACCCGGTGCCACTTGTGGTTTCTGTCAACCTTCACGGGGCCCAATCTGGTCAGTCCTGTGTCAACCCAAAAGATTTCGACTGTGATGTTTCAGTGTTTTGTCATCGCTGCCAGTGCCTTTCTGGTAGGTTCGTTCTTTGATGACTTGTTCATCTTCATTCACTGGTTGATGTCTTTATTTGAAGCTGGGAAACTCACATTATGATCTCAGATTTGTCAACTTCAAACGGCACAAGCAGTCAGAAGAAGCATCACCAGAACAAGAACAATGTTTTAGTTGATACCTGAACTCTTCCACCATTTGTGGCTGTGGCCAAGCACCATTGAGGTGGTGTTTTTGGCCAATTCTCTAAAACGACTGCACTCGCAGCTAGAAACCAGGCAAGGGATGGGTAATCCATCCTGTTACATTCTTTGAGACGTCCATATTTTTGTTGCGCTCCAAAAGAGTCTTGGCCAAGTATAGTCAAGATGACATCGCCGATCATGGACCGTTGTCAGGGTGTGAATGCCATGGTGATGCACATCAACATGATGTCGCACAGCGTCCCCAACACCTTCCGTCCACCTCCCGGGTTGCCGCCGCCGGAATGCTTGAAGGCGCGGTCTTTTGCAGTGGGTTGTTTTCCTGACTGTAACAAGAAAGCATAAGCTGTTAAAGGCAAGGTGGTATGTTTTTATTGGAGGTATCATTATATAAAATTTCTACCTTAGATGATGCAAGTAGTTCCTAGGTACATCTATATATAAAACTGTAAAACATGAATGAGCTTGGCCCAACTGGTAAGTCATTTTCAAGGATTTGTTTGGAATGCACCTGGTTTCCAAATTCGGAAAAAAGGACCATGGGAAGTGAAGGAAGGCCCCCCTGAAACTTGACAAACATGTCGTGTTGTGGGGAGCCTGCTTTAGAGAGGCTCCACGTTTCCACTGATGCTCGACACCATAAAGTGGAAAGCCGTGCTTAGCTGAGCTACACGTTTTGATGGTGCCATTTAATTGGTCTTAATTGCTGAGAAGGGGATTGGATCAAAGACCAACAGACCAACATGGAAGCACGAAACCACCGGTTTTGGGTCTTGATAGACCGCCCAAGATATTACAAGAGCCCATAGTTACTAGTTTGGAGTTGTCCATGGTGACCCCTTTTGGACCAACCACATGGATCGCTGTCATTCACCACCTCTCACAAGCCAGGAGGATGATGCTGATACTGCCAGCACGACGGCCAGCACACAGCTGCTTGGTCGGATAAATGCATCTTGGAAAGTGAAGATTCACCTGGTATATCACTGTTGAATATGCTCACATATAGAATTCACTCATCCTGATATCACAAGTTACTTCAACATCTACCTTCCTACCATTGACCAATATCCTGCACCACTTGCAATACAGGGTAGTCTCTCGATTTTTTGGGCAGGTCCTCCACCCCGTCGACGCCTCGGGAGAATCAGAGTGAGCCAGCCAGCCCCACCAACCAGATCTTCTGGTTGTGAATCATTCTAACGTCGTCAGCGGTGTGGCGCGCTGTTCTGGGCCTGAGCAATGAATCTTTTGCAGCTTAGCAGCTCTTTTTGACTATGACTATCAAGAATACCAGCACATGCAGGTTCAGCATGTTGCCCC